TGATTTAGTGACACACACCTGTGGTCTTAAATATGGCGCCCGCGCATGTGAGATCAGGCTGGTCTCCGGCAAAATGGCGCCCGATATGGAGACATATCTCCTATGGAAAATGGCGCGTTCGTAATGCGCATGCGCCATTTACGTTATTTAATGGATACAGTCAGGAGCAGACGCTGAAGCTTATCCCCTTTGATGATGTGCGGTTAGCACAAAACGCGTCAAGGTAGGAGCTACAGCGTCACTATCTCTCTGCCGCCGGCACCACGGAGGTCCCGGCGGCCATCTTTCTATTCACCTCATGGTCAGTGATTGTTTGTTTTCCTCACCTATATCATACTGTATATGAAATAAATATCTTTTTAAAATGGTATCATGCTATTGGTCTCCTTTCTTTGTGGCCCTTGGTGAGTCACTTATCACCTATAGAGCCACCTAAGAGAGAGACCGTGGATTACTAGCAACATCCAGCTGGTGGAGGAATATCTGGCCTGACCTGACCTCTTGAAGCTACTTGTGGATCTAGTGGAGATAATATATCTCTAAATGCGCAGTTACACTGTGCATCTGGTGAGTGCACAGCCTTATCCTTTTCACGTTTACTGCATGGAAGCAGCACTTTGAAGAAAAATAACTGTCACAAGGACTGGTTTTGCACCGCATGTCACTTTGCTTGTGATATAACTTTTGTGATCACATTAATCATCTAACTACCATATATTGATATTTTGGACGTTTTATTTATACTATAGCGCCGCATCTTTTATGTTATATGGTTTGTAAGGTTCTTTGGTATCCTTTTTTGATGCTGTGGCTGCTTTTTTTGTTTTCATAGCGCTCACAACTTCTTTTATATTTGTTAGTAAAAAAGTTTAAAAAATCAAAATAAATAAATAAAAATCTCAATACATCTAAATTAATTGGTTTACATGAAAGTTATAGCATTTACAAATGGCGGTATATATATACTGGGACTTTTTTTACAGTTCTCTCCCCCCCCTGTCGGTAATGCTCGGCGCTCACTGGGTGCCGGTAAGTAATCTCTGGTGATTGACAGCCTAGGCCGCCTCGGAAATGCAAAATCACATATATATACATGATTTTGCGCACCCCTACCACCCTATAGGGTGGCGGGAAAACGCTACCTAAAAGGCACGGTAATAGTGCCATAACAAATTAACAATGTAAATAAAACACAAGAAGAATTGAGCACCAATAAGTAGGCAATAGGCGCTTATGAGTTAAATGGAAATATATTAGGTTCACTACATAGAAAAGAGAGAAGTATAGAAGCAGAGACCTGCCTTGCAGGAAAGGCAAAGTGGATAGGAAGGGGAAAGGTGTAAAGAGAGGAAGAAAAGAGGGGGATGGGGAAGGAGGTCAGGAGCACCCCAGCTGGAGTCCCAGAGCCTCAATGCCTATAGTAATGTGTAACTGGCTGTGGGTATAGAAGGATGAGTGCATTGTATCTATGGGGTCCAAATTTTCTTATACATTTTTTAAATGGGAAAGGTAGCACAAAAGAGAGACACAAAAAAGACTTCTGAGATTTCATGAAGAGGTGCAATCACTTTCCTGAAACACCCAATCCAGCATGGGATCAATGAGATGTATTTGGTGCAAGAAGCTTGATATATCCACCTTGGGGAGGTGGTCTTGGAGTTGGGGCCCTGTCATTTTGCACATCACAGAGGTGTACATATATCTGGCTTTTGGTGAGTCTCTGTTGGTGGCACACTGGTAGGTGATAGCTAATTGATGAAAATGAGACAAGACTGACACATTGGCTAACCAGCTCTTTGGTGGCCTTCCTTTGATCTTCTACTTTACCTTCCCCCAAAGAATCTCAGTGATATGCATTCATGAGAAGTAGTGCTGTTTATGACTGCTTGTGTACATCCAGAACCTGGAGTATAATATAGATAAAGAACATGTGCAGGGCACTGAGCCCCTCCATACCTATACTGTAGATATATACAGTGTGAGGAGATTGTATGGGAGGCTGGTCCCAGACATTACACAATCCACATCCCCATATCTAAGGTTGTATGTGTGCTGTAGACCAGCAGTTCTAGATGCCCCATTGACCCTGAGGCATAAAGGAATGATTTGCATGGCTCTGCTCACTATCCGAAAGCAAAGAATAAATTAGTTTTTTTGGATTTGAGATAGAAGTGAGTCATGCAGATTCCTTCTGTGTTAGGCCTCATTCACACACATGTTTAAAGGTGGACTACAAATTCCTGTAGTGGCAGCGGACCAGGATGTTCACATTGCGTGGTCATGATGCTTTGCTTCAAGGGCACAGCACAAAGTAGTCCCCCTTCAAGTGAATGGGACTACGCCACCAACACCCCCCGCAACTGCATGGCAATATACGCTGTTGCAGCATTTATGGGGTTAAAACAGGCAGTACAGAGGAAACCTATTGCCTCCTCACTACCTGTCAAATGCCTCTGACAAGAGATTTGAATGGTGAATGCTTTTTAGAGGTGCTGCATGTCTAACTTTGTTTTTCTGGCCATAGATGGATCAAAATTCAGCTGATTGAGCAGGAACTGGACAAATTTCAATCCATGTATGGACAGGCTGGTTGTACTGAAGTCAGTCCATCAAATTGCTTCAGTACAACTAGCCTGTTGGTTTTTCTTTTGCCTGATCTCTGTGGGCAACTTTTTACTCAGAGAATAGGTGCAGGAACTCCCTCCTTCTGAATCACTTCTTGTCTCTGCTCCCCCACCCACCTCAGAGCACAGTCCCCTGGTTCCACTTCTTCACACCTCACAGTACCGCTCCTGATAGAGAATACACAGCCAAGTATCATTTTGTGGTGCTATGTAATTTATATGAAATTTGTTAATGATAACAAGAAAAGCAGTAAAATAGATCCCCTGGAGCCAGCAGCAATATACCCCCTCACCCCCAAGCAACAAAATACAACCCCAGCAACAATAGACCCCCAGCAGCAATATCAGATCTCACAGCATCAGCCAGCATCAATAGACTCTCCAGCAGTCAGCAACAATAGACCCCTCCCTCAACAGTAGATCCCTTATGGTAACAATAGATCCGCCACCAGCAACAATACACCTCCCCACCAACAACAGACCACCATGCAAAAACAGATCCCCTCCAGTGACAATAGATCCCCCAGCAGCTAGAATCAATAGGCCACCCAGCACACCCCAGCACCCCTTGTCATTACATACATTCAGTGCTGGAGGTGCCCAAACTGCTTACCACCACATTCTCACTGAAAAAAGCCCTGCTGTTGGCAGTGGTAATTGCATTCTGCTGATGGGGAGGGCTCCCTGCATTTCCTGCTGGAAGTACAAAATAGCACTGCGGGAGGGATTCCCCCATCAATACTGAATGTGTTGATGGGGAAATTGAGCAGTTTTCTTTCCTTTAATAAGTGGTTGAAGGAAAGAAAATTGCATAATGTATAGCCTGCCTAAGACTGCACTGAGTTGTGGATACGTGTAAAGTAATATTATGTTACAAAAGCAAGACATACAAGGCAGAGTAAAAAATTAGTGATGGGCTGAACACCCCCCTGTTCGGCTCGTGGTCGAACATTCGAACCTAATGAAAGTTTGACCGTGAACTTTGAACAGAGGGGACAATTCACTAAGCTGTATCTTACTGTGTCGGAGTATGTAGTAAGATATCGCACAGCTACTAAAATACCGCATGAGCTATATTATTAAGTCATATTTTAGTAGTGAAAACATTTTGTAATGTTTCAGCTGTCAGCGGGGTTCCCTGCACTGAGTTGTGGATACATGTAAAGTAATATTATTACAAAATTTAAAAAATGGTGTGGAGGTCCTCCCCAAATTCTGTACCAGACCCTTACCTGAGCATGCAGCCTGGCAGGTCAGGAAAGGGGGGGATGAGTGAGTGCCCCCCTCCTCCTGAACCATGCCAGGCCACATGCCCTCAACATGGGGGGGGGGTGCTTTGGGACCATGTTGATAGGAACAAGGGCCTCTGCCACACACCCGTGGTCGGTAGTTGTGGGGGTCTGCGGGCGGGTTGCTTATCGTAATCTGGAAACCTCCTTTAACAAGGGGGCTGCCAGATCCCCCCCATGTGAATGAGTATGGGGTACATGGTACTGCTACTCATTCACAAAAAAAACGTGTAGTGTAAAAAAATGACAGTAGACAGTCTTTGACAAGTCCTTTGTTAAAAACAGAAATAAAAAAAAAATGTCCCCCGAAGTAGATCCCTTGTCAGTCATGATGCCCGCCACCACCGCTGACCCGAAAAAAAAAAAAAAAAAAGTGCAGTTCTCACCATCTGACAGCTGCTCCGGGATGACAGTTCTTAAATACTGTGATGAGGCTACAAGGGGGAGGGGTCACTCCCACTCCCTTGTGACATCATCATGCGCTGTGATTGGCCAAAGCATTGGCCAATCACAATGCACTGTCAGGGCGCAGTGCATTGTGGGGTGTGGCAGGCGAACAGCCCGCCGAACGCCCTTACTGTTCGTGTGTTCGCCGAACATATGAACAACCGATGTTCGAGTCGATCTTATGTTCAACTCGAACATCAAGCCCAGCACCATAAAAAATGTTTAGAGAGACTTTTTGCTGACATGACACATCATATCTCATGCCTTCGAACTGTCCCAATATTTACAGGATTGTTGAGGGATTTGTACCAGGGTCCTGCAGACCCACGTAATGTCCCAGTGCTGGGTGCTAATATGCTCATTCCAGGATCTGGTGGCAGGATCTGGTCTGTGCATGTACAGGAGACTGGGAAAACCTATCCACACTTTTTGTTTTTAATCATTTGAAGCTAACATGGCTTAGGCCCCATTCACTGTACAAACAAATGGCCACTGCCCCAATCCATGTCAAACAATAAAAAGAAAAATTCCCAGCTCAACTTACTGAGTAGCTTGTTACCAACCGAATTGTCCTGTCCAGGGGTGGACTGACCATTTGGAAACTCGGGCAGTAGGGGGCCCCATGAGATGCCCCTGGTACCTTTTTCATAGGCTTTTTTGAATTTGGGCAAGGACACAGGGGCTCCATGATCCCTTATTGCCCGGGGGCCCCATGAGTTGTCAGTCCACCCCTGGTCCTGTCTAACAGTTTGTGTTGAAAATGGGGGTTTAGTTTGCACACATTTGTGAATACATGTGTAAGTTGCAGAGCTTCTTCCTGGCACCCCAATATTCAACAGTTCCTAACTCTATAATTTTGAGAGCCTCCATAGTAGCAGCACATGCATCATGATGGATAGACTGAGGGCAGGTGAGCCTGAGGGAGCCCAGCCATCCTTAAAGTTCACCTTTGGGAACATGTTACATGTTTCACCCATTTTTATGGTGGACCATGTAGCATGTTCCCATAGCTGCAGCCGTGCCTGCCGCCCCTCCTCTCTCTGATAGATAATACGAGGAGAAGTTTCCCTCTACTAGCTGTCAGATTTGAAAACAGCGCGGCTGTGCGGGGCTCCACTAACAATGCCGTGTTATTCATGCACAGAGTTCTGGGAATGAGTACCTACAAGTCCTGGCAGCCTTAGTGGCTGTGGGTTTGTAGTCTTCAATGAACTACAATGGAACTGTGGAGCGCTGTGGTAGTTCATTTAAGAATATCCTGTACAGCAAGCAGATATTCTGACAGGTCTGCAGGAGACCTGCATGGCATCAGCGATCTACTGATCACTGGTGCAAGGTTTTCCAGGCTCCTGTAGACAAAAACATAATGAGTACATATTTTTTTTACCTGCAAAAAAAGGTGCATTTATTTTTTTTGTCAAAAAAGTGAACTTATCCTTTAAAGGCACAGGGGTGCACTGGACCAGCAACTTACCACCAAATCCATCAAAAGCCCAAAGACTTTTATAAAACAATAGAAGGGCTGAAAAACTGCAGAAGAAAGCAGATAGCAAGGGCAATTTTTCAGCCCTTGTATTACTTTATAAAAGTCTTTTGGCTTTGGATTGATTTGGTGGTAAGTTGTTGAAGATAAATATATATTAATTTATTTTATTCTCTCTCTCTCTATATATATATATATACCATATACATTTTTTTTTCTTACTAATAACCTGGTCTTTCCCTAGATACAGTTGCAAGAAAAAGTATGTGAACCCCTTTGGATTACGTGGAGTTTTGCATGAATTGGGCATAAAATGTGCTCTGAACGTCATCTAGGTCACAACAATAGAAGAACAGTCTGCTGAACATAATACTACACAAACATTAGATGTTGCCATGGTTTAATTGCACATAACATGTAAACATTCACAGTGCAGGGAGGAAAACGTATGTGAGGCCCTAGCTTAATGACTTCTCCCAGAGCTAATTGGGGCCAGGAGTGAGCCAACCTTGACTCCAATCAGTGTGATGATATTGGATGTGTTGCTGACACCTGTCCTGCCCTTAAAAAACACACACCTGTTTTGGGTTTACTGGTTCCAAGAAGCACTGTCTGATGTGAACCATGCCTCGCAGCAAAGAGCTCTCAGAAGACCTACGATCAAGAATTGTTGACTTGCATGAAGCTGGAAAGGGTTACAAAAGTATCTCCAAAAGCCTTGATGTTCATGTGTCCACAGTAAGACAGACTGTCTACAAATGGAGAAAGTTTAGCACTGTTGCTACTCTCCCTAGGCGTGGTAGTCCTATAAAAATGACTGCAAGAGCACAGCGCAGAATGCTGCGTGAGGTAAAGAAGAATCCCAGAGTGTCAGCTAAAGACCTACAGAAATCTCTGGCACATGGTAACATTTTTGTTGACACATCTACAATAAGGAAAACATTAAACAAGAATGGAGTACATGGGAGGACACCGCGGAGGAAGCCATTGCTGTCCAAAAAGAATATTGCAGCACGTTTGAAGTTTGCAAAAGAGCACCTGGATGTTCCACAGCACTACTGGCAAAATATACTGTGGACAGATGAAACCAAGATTGGGTTGTTTGGGAAGAACACACAACACACTATGTGTGGAGAAAAAAGGCACAGCACACCAACATCAAAACCTCATCCCCACTGTAAAACATGGAGGAGGGAGCATCATGGTTTGGGGCTGCTTTGCTGCCTCAGGGCCTGGACGGATTGTTGTCATTGATGGGAAAATGAATTCCAGAGTTTATCAAGATATTTTGCAGGAAAACGTACGACCATCTGTCCGCCAACTGAAGCTCCGCAGAGGATGGGTGATGCAACAGGACAATGACCCAAAGCATACAAGTAATTCAACAAAACAATGGCTGCAACAGCACAGAATACGCCTTCTGGAGTGGCCCAGTCAGAGTCCTGACCTCAACCCGATTGAAATGCTGTGGCATGACCTTAAGAGAGCGATTCACACCAGACATCCCAAGAATATTGCTACACTGAAACAGTTTTGTGAAGAGAAGTGGTCCAAAATGACTCCAGATCGTTGTGCAGGTCTGATCTGCAACTACAGGAAACGTTTGGTTGAGGTTATTGCTGCCAAAGGAGGGTCAACCAGTTATTAAGTCTAAAGGTTCACATACTTTTTCCTCCCTGCGCTGTGAATGTTTACATGTTATGTGCAATTAAACCATGGCAACATCTAATGTTTGTGTAGTATTTATGTTCAGCAGACTGTGTTCTTCTATTGTTGTGACTTAGATGACGTTCAGAGCACATTTTATGCCCAATTCATGCAAAACTCCACGTAATCCCAAGGGGTTCACATACTTTTTCTTGCAACTGTATCATTCCATATACTATGACTTTTAGCCTTGTTATTCTCCTGAAGATGTGAATGTTACTTCACAATACACATCGAGAGATCTTGTGTTTTGTAACATTTGGGACATGAGGACTATATGTTTTAATTTACATATACACCAAAAATGTTATTGTTTTTTGGATATTGATTCTTAGTAAATGTCTTTTTTTCTATCAGGAATAATAAAGAATGTGATGTATAACCAGAGTTGGTGTGCCTGGCAAAGTCCCTTGGGCATTTTCTCTTTTTCTGTAGCAAACATAGCCACCCTCTAAAGGAAGCTGGATCACATCAAAAGAAAAAAAATAATTTAGATATATGAAGGAGGCAGAGAGCAATAGAGGTTACTTTATTTTGATTAAGAACGCATATTTGTAGTGAATATTCTTAGAAATCAGAGATTAGAGTTACTTTAGGTCAGTGACCCATTGTACAGTGGGACAGGTAATAATTATTTTTTATTTTTTTTGCAGGGATGAGGGATGCCATTGCTTTTTTTTTTTTTTAATTGTGATAGTCGCTTTAATTTGCATACTTATTCCAAGTGCAATCAAGTTGGCAATTCCAGTGGCTCAAAGTAGTGAAGCCATTGGAAAAACATGACAATAAGGGAACTAGCCTTTTCAGACAGAGAATTCAACAATGGCATTTTCAATATTTTTTCTCATAAACCATTTTGATTTTATTTATTAAAGGTACTTGTATAGCACCATCAATTTTCACTGAGCTTTACATATATATTGTACATTCACATCAGTCCCTAACCCTCAAGGGGCATACAATCTAAGGTCCCTAACTCACATTCATACATATACATACTAGGGCCAATTAACCTACCAGCATGTCTTTGGGGCGTGGGAGGAAACCCACACTGCCATGGTTGAAATTTGAACTGACGCACCTAGTACTGGTAGGCGGAAGAGCTAATCACTTAGCTACTGTTGGTTTTGGTATCAATACACAATATTTGAACATTGCTTAAAATGCCTTGGTATCTCTTGTGGGTTATAATGATCATTTGCATGTGCTGGATGTTGCACTAATAAACAACCAAAGCAGCCAACTCAGTGAGGAAAGTTACAGCAATATGCCAGGATAAAATTCTCTGATCATCATCCTCATTCAATTAAGAGTCCCTGTTCTCAGGAGCGTCCCTAGGGTTGGTGTCACCCAGTGCGATAACACTTGGTGACACCCCCCTCCGATGATCCCTGCAGAATGGATCTGATCTGCAGATTGAACATAATGGATCGGACTCCAATCAATAATGCTCAATCCGCAGATCCGATCCATCCTGCGGGTATCGTCGGCTTGCTTTACAACTTACCTTTTCGTGGGTCCGGTGTCACCCGGTGCAGCACGAAGCCCCCGCACCTGCCAAGGGATGCCCCTGCCTATTCTTAAAGTGGAACTTCACCCTCTCATTTAAAACTGACTATTTACTAATGCTAGCAGCATAAGGATTAAAAATAGATAGGAAGGTATGTTACTGTATATTTACTTGATTTAAGTTTATTTTTAATCTTCTTCAGTAACTTCCTGGTTTCCATGCCCAGGCAAATGATGTCATACATCCCAGGATTCTTCAGGAGCTAAAGGCATATGGATTACAGGAAGTAAATGCTACATGAATCATCTGCCCTTACTCAAGATGGTCATGGCCAAAAATACTGCCTGACCAGGCCATTTTCTGCGATGTGGCGCTGCATTATTTAACTGACAATTGCACGGTCATGCAGCACTGCACCCAAATGAAATGCATGTCCCAGTTTTCAGTGAGCAGAGAGATGATGACTTTCAGTCACCGGTTCTCTGCTCTAACCCTCCAGTGGTCACTGGAGCTTGTGGAGTGCCTGGCTTAGGCTCTCAAAGGCTCTCTGAGAGGCTGAGCTAGCTACTGGTTCAGGCATCTGGGTGGATCCCGGCTGTAAAGTAAGGACTGATCCAAAGCCTGGACCGGCTGAGTGACGGCAGCTGAAAACAGGTACAGGAGTGCAGAACAAACTGCACTGCTGTGATCCATAGGAGAAGTAGGGACAAAAAAGCGTTGTCCTTACTTACAAAATTACAAAAATTGTTTGTTCTTGGCAGGGGCGGACTGACAACTCATGGGGCCCCCGGGCGGTAGGGGATCATGGGGCCCCTGTGTCCTTGCCCAAACTCAAAAAAGCCTATGAAAAAGTTACCAGGGGCATCTCATGGGGCCCCCTACTGACCCCGGGCCCTCGGGCAGTGCCCGAGTTTCCAAATGGTCAGACCGCCCCTGGTTCTTGGGTTTAGATACAGTTTAATCTACAACTATGTGAAAATGAATTCTATCCCTTTAAGTTAAAACAGAATGGCACCCTAAAAGGGGAAGTGCAGCTGTATGTCCTTCTCTTCCTCCCCCTAAGATTTTTGGCACATTTTTTGGGTGGATCAGGTACCTAGTTT